CGGCGGAGGTTGTGGATCTGGGGGCAGCTCGACGGAGAAAGGATGGGGAGGAGGCTCGGGCTAGAGAGAGCAGTGGCAGTGAGGGGATGCGGAGGGCGATTGAGGGAAGAGAGAGGCAACAGGGACTTAGGGGAGGCAGATCTGGTGCAAGTGGTGGAGGTGAAGTTGGCGGTGAGAGAGGAGAGAGAAGAAGAGAAGAGTGTGTGTTGTAGGCATTAAAAATTGCCCACGAATTCCCGTACGTAGCTTGAGATAGAGAGAAGATGATAAACGTTACTATCCGGGTCACAGAAGCTTAATTGATGTCGACAAGCGCATGAAGTGAGTCAATAAACCATGCAAAGCAATGGAACTTCGGAATAACGGAAACACGAATGTATCGGGAGCTAAGCATCGCTTACGAAAGATGATGTGCCCCTCGTGTCCCGTTTAATCCACATATGATTCAATCATGGAATCTCGTATATCTCCTCGTCGACATTCCGATACATTTTGAATCGCGTGATTCCGAGTTCGGATGATGAAGATACGACGAAAACGAACAGAACACGCGGAACAATGCTCCAGGCCTCAGCGAGACACCCATAGGTGTCTCAGCCAAAGTTTAGCCGAGACACCCATAGGTAATACGTAATAGTAACAATAACAAAACATATTAATTTAAAAGTTTTTACTGCACTAAGTTAATTTATAAATATCAAAATTATTTAAATAAATATAAAATTAGACTTTTAATCATAGAAAATTCTAGAAAATCAAGAAAATACAAATACTCTTTTTTTAAAATAATAATTGAATATTTTAAAATATCAAGAAAATTATTTTAACAAATATAGAAAATTCATGGTCATTACATATTCCAATACCACCAATGGGACATTCGTGATCATTTCTTATTAACACGACATTCCCCCTCTCCAACTCCTCAAAGCTAGAGAAAAAAATCACTCCTAGGACAAATGTGGTATGTAGCACCCGAATCTAACATCCACTCTGTAAAGTTTGCATAACAAGCTGACGGTAATGCTAGGCATGAGTAGCCTAAAGAGTCTGAATCTGAATTATCACCACTATCTTTAGCAATATTCACCTTTGAAGTCTGTACAGCTTTCCCCTTGTTCTTCACAGCTCTATCTTTCAACTTTGGGCATTCATTTTTCTAATGTCCATCCTCTTTGTAAAAGCACATTGATTCTTAATTACACACACTTCTATGATCACCTCTTGGCTTCGATTTTAAGCGATTAAATGGACGGGGTTTGGGACTACGGTATCTCACTGCCAATGCATCTCCCAATGCCTTCTCGGAGGGTTCACTATCACTCTTTTTCAACTCATAATTAACCATTGCTGATGTCACCTCCTTATAACTGGCAGTGGTTCTACCATTGTAAGGACAAAGGTACTATAATCATCCTCTGGCAACGAACATAATAACAACATCGTCTTGTCTTCATCCTCTACCATGATATCCACATTGGCCATATCCGATAGCAATTTTATAAAATTATTGACATGTTATCTAATGGAAACTTTCCTCTTCATTTTGAATTGGTAAAACATTTTCTTTAAATAAAGTCTATTCTCAATGCTCTTCGTCAAATACTTATCATTGAGTATTTCCCACAACCGTTTCGTTGATGTTTCATTCATGACATCTTAGATCAATTTCGACGTCAAACATGATCTAATAACCCCACATGCTCTACTATTTATTTTCTTCCAAACCTTATTCTCCATATCATCAGGTTTCTCTTGTAATTCAAAAGTCTCCTTCAAATTTTGAGCATCCAATGCATCCATCACTTGACACCTCCACAAACCAAAATTTATCTTGTCATCGAATTTTTGAACATCAATTTTAGTATTATTAATGCTCAAACCTTGTATCGCCTTAGTCAAGGATGCTCCAGATGTACTTGCTTCGGTCATTGTGACAATCCAATCTCTTCAAACGAGAATCCATACCAAATCCTCCAATTTATCTGTCCATCACTCATTGCAAGATGAAATCTCTTGCAGAAACCATAGCTTTCTCCTCCAAATCGAACTCCAAGCCGACCTAAAGCTCTTATACCACTTGTCGCGCATAGTGGAATCGGAGTCACGAACAAGATAGGAGAACAAATCAATAACCAAAACAGGTACCACACAAGAAAGACATCAAATTTACGTGGTTCGACAATGTGCCTACGTCCACGGGGTAATGGGGGAAGATTTCACTAATAAAGAGAGAGAGTACACATAGAGATTACAATAACTCAATAATCTCACAAATTAAACCCTAAACAAAACTCTCAAGTCCCTCATAAATTCTCCCTTTCAAAGTGCTCAAAAGTCTCTCCAATCTCTGCTCAAAATCGCCTCTATTAAACCCTAGAAACGTTCGTTTCTATTTATATCAACCAATCAATCTAAAACCAAATGGGAAAACCGACCAAGCCCATAACTGCGATCCAGTCAACCAGGACTATGCTCGCGGTCGACTGATCAGAGGGTC